ATGTCAGAATAGTGAAATATGTCCATCAGAGTTATATAAAACTAAAAGCAGTACATTTTCACATTTGAAAAACTGGAAACAACAAATATTTGTATTTTTTTTTCCCCTTGAAAAGGGACTTGAGTGATTCACCTATCATCAAAATATTTGATGGCTGATGAGTCTACTTGACTAATTGTTGCAGCTCTTCCTTCTAGATGTCTGTGAATATTATTGTTTGTGGATGTGTAGAATATTTCTGTTACTTTAACCTTTGAACCTGCAGCATAACATTCTGTTTCTGTTGAAGTGAATGTAATTGTCGACTGCCACCAATAAATGAACGTTTAAATATTAAATTACATTTTTCTGTGTTTTCTATTTTCTGTTCTTTTTTTTTTTTACGAGACTGAAGGCGGTTTCCTTGGCTGGGCGGAAACATCACTTCCTCAGTGCCAGGATGATGGATAACCCACTTGGCCACTGCAGCACCTTCAGCGTAAATGAGAAATGAAGAGGAAGTGGAGGAGAAGCGATACAGGTGGGAGAGAGAAAGAAGAAAATGCTGGAGGGAGAGGAGAGGATAGAAAGGAGGATGTCTTATTAATCTGAGATGCTCAGCAGTCAGATATACACCCAGGAGATCCTTTTGTCTGTGTGTGAACCAGCACACAGACAATTATTTCTCTTTCCGTCTCACACATTAAGATAAATCTTACAGTTGAGGAGCACACCCCTCCTACAGATGCCCCCATTTTCTATCTAGCACTCACCTTCCCTCCCTTCACATATTTTCCCTTCCTCTCCCTCTCTCTCTGTCGTTCAGAGCTAGAAATGAGCACAGCAGCCCCCCCCCCCCCCCCCCCCCCCCACACACACACACACACACACACACACACAGACAGACAGACACACATAAAGCCACAATGAAACTAGCAGGTATTATAATGTCTCCTACATTGATGAGGGCCTGCAGTGGCCATGACGCCTCATTAAACAGCCAGTATGACTGAGTGGGTATCACTTCCAGCCGGGGAGGATTTGGCTCTGTGTCTAGTGTTGCCCTCGTTACATTACATTCACGTTTTAGGCACTAAGCTGCCTCACACTGACCTATAGTGCTTTAGTAAGAAGAGTAAGAATGCAAGCGAGGGGGTGTGTTGTCCGCCTACTGCCTGAACATGAGGAGAAACCTCCTCCTTTCGGGATTCACAATTCATTTTACAGGTTTCTCTTTCCTGAAAAGCGGTTTAAAATATGACCGTCTTTTGTCCCTCTGGGTTTAAGTGTGGCGGAGAGTCGTAGTAACAGTGACTCCGACATTTATTTCCTACGAGAGGAGGGAACCACCGTGCGAACGCTGTTTGATGAGATAGGCAGTGACATGAAACCAGCCCCGTGACACAATGAGAAATGCAACTGAACATAACAGTAAAGCTGGTGTTTGCTTCTGTTGCCTGGAAAGTTACCAAAAATTTCAGGATTTTAGCTGCTCACATATTTAAAAAAGATTTTTATCTTAGTAGCCCAAGACATCCAAAAGGCTAGCCTGCTAGTCTGCTCTAGCTTGTTCATGATAGTATGCAAAAACCAAAATCTTCAGATTACATTTTACTAAAATATGCTTATAGATTATATATGTAATTTTAATGTGTAATTTTAAAAAACATTTGTATACACAAATAATGAACAGAAGTAAACAAGTCATGTTGTGTCTGCAAGACTGTCTCCAATCGTCCAGAAGGAGTTGAGTTTACCAAAGAGAGGCTTCTTATTTGCGCCCGACAAAACACAGACTCCTGCAACTGGTCAATAATTTCATGACACTGTTTGTGTTTTGTTTTAGATTTAATGTAACACTGTGGACGTTTCTGTTTAATCTAAATCAGATGTTCATTGTTTGGAGGAACCTGAAAGTCACAACACAATCACATGGATTAATAAATGTATATATTGTTAGGATTTTTCAGTGCACAAGTACAAAGAGATCAGATTAGTGTCATAAGAGTCAGCTGCTCGCGGATAAAGACTTACTGTTAAATATGCTTTGTAGCTGTTAACACACCATTGGTGGACTTATTGATTGCCAGATTGACTCATTATTGGTTTATTGCTTCCAAGGAAGGCCAGAGAAAGATGGCTGGGAAGAGGAGGAGTCAGAGTGTACCAAGAGATTTGTAGTAGCAGATGTTGTATTTTAATTGCATGAATTAAAATTTTGTCAAGCTGCTACTGAACAGTTGAATTTGAATAATGGACTTTTAGAAGCAGTAAGAGTTGTAATCCTTTCTAAACTCAACATGACTTCTTGTGAAATCTGAACAATGAGAGTATTGAATTTGGAAAGTTTAATTCACAATAAGCTTCAAATGATTATAATTTCAGACTGAGCTTTAAATTCAATATGGATCAATTGGCGTATAAAACTCGATGTGTTTTTGTTAAGGAAACAAGCTTTTTATCTTTTTTTTGTACAACCATATACATTTATACTCCCAGCCATTGTTCCTTCAATTTGCTTTGCAGCCTCTCCGCCTACACACAGACACACACGCACTTTATTATGAGGCAGATGAAAGAGGTGACAGCTGGCCTTAAGTAGCAGCGGAGTGAGTGATCGCAACACACACACACACACACAGAGGAGATACGTGCATTGATCGGTGTAGTCGCTCCATGTGTACAGCGACATGTGGCTCCGGTCGGCTCACTTAGTCCTCCTCTGTTACCTCCTCTGTTAAGCAGTTTGATATCAGTGTCCACTTAGTTTATTTAGTTCATATTTTGCTTGTCAAAAAATGCTCTCCCTCTTTCTCTCCCTTTCTCCCTGTCTTTGAATCTCTCTTCCTGTCTGCATTTAAAGTAGTGTTGCTCCTTTAAGTTGATTAATTGCTGGTTGCAGCAATACAACATTTATATTCTATGGTGCACCAACTCATCATCCACCAAGCCACAAGACATCTCAGTTATTAAACACAGATTAAAAATTATGTTTTAAGCTCGAAAAGATGGAGCATGTCAAGATTTCATTCCCTCAAAGACGCACTCGGTCCTTATGTTACCTCATTGCAAAAACTTTTTCAGACACATGCTGCAAACTCTCAAACATTAATCTTGACTGTTATTTATTGAAGAAACTTTTTTTGCAGTGCAGTGCAGAGATAATCCCTTAACAAGTACATTTCCAACTTGTTTCTAGAGTTCACCTACCCGGTCTTCATTGTGGACATTCTGAGATAAGCAAACACAATATAGCACATACTGCGAAACTCTCTGCTGAACAGCTAATTTAGCTAATCAATAGAAGCTAGTTTGCCAAATCACACAGACTGTTTTGTGGTTGTCGAATGCCCTTAATATCTGATTCTAGCAACGACAATAATGAGACTGATTTCCATCCCCACGCTCAGGTATGTTACCGTTACACGTTTTCTTTGAATAGGTCTTGTGGTTTTCTGCTGCTGGCAAGCCAAAAAATGGATAAAAGAAAGAAGAATTTCCTGGTTGATTTTGGAAACGACCTAATTCCCCTACTGACGTTGACAAAATAGAGGTTTAATTGCCCTGAAAGCTTGGTTTCAAATAGGTTTTTCTCTGTAACATCAAATATTTGTGACTAAATAAGCAAAAGTCCAAAAAAATGGGGGAAAAAATGGATGTTATTTACATGGAGATCAAGTCAAAAAGTAGTTATTAACGTAAGCACACAACCCTACAACTGTCATCAGATTTTAAATAAAATGTTGCTAAACTCTGATTGGTGCATGGAAGTATGTCAATTCGCCTTTTTCCAACTGAGCCCCGCCCACCTTAAACCAGTGAGAAGAGCTCAGAGAAAAACACAGAAATCTGTCATGTCAAATAGCCAACGCTTGTTTGCTTATGTAAGAAGCTGATGGGGAAAATATGTTTTCAGGACCTTTTAAGTTCAACAAGCAGTCTTTGGGACATAATTACACACTCCTACGTGCTACCTGCGGTGCCACCCTGTACACACAAACAAAACAACATAACACAACAAATGACAGCTACGTGAGAGGTGCCTCTCCATCAGGACTGCACTGTTGGTGCCCAGGTGTCGCCCCCCCCCCCCCCCCCCGGGCCCATTCACTTTGCATGGATACAATCATTAGCATTGTCCAAGAGCAGCGGTGCCTGACTCCCTCTAAACCATCACGGCCCTGCAGCAATAATGGGAATGCTAAATTGCAATTGTGTATGCAGTGGATTACCAGGCCAGGGGGGCACAATGTCCGAGAGAAAGAGACAATGGGTGGCAATTGACTGGCTTAACCAACACCTGCTTTTTATATTGACCACGTGGCTTGGGTTAACAGGGGATAAATGTGTCCAAGAAGTTACAGGGCAAGGGAGGGGGATGTATGAAAATGTGTCATGTGTTAAACGATTGGCCATCGCTCACACCTCAAAACTCAACCCCATGACCAGAATTAATAGTCTGAGATGACACTAGAAGTGGATTGATATTTCCAATTACAAACTTTAGTGGAGGAAATGAGCCTTGCCGACACCAAGTGTACTGCAGAAGGTGTATCAGCAGTTTTCTCCGAGCGATCAATAGCCCTGTGATGCAACCACCCCCTCCGCCCATTACCGAGTGAAGCCCAGGGAGGAAGCGAGTGAGTGGGGAATGAGACAGAGGAGGAGAGGTGGGGGGGGAAGGGTGCAGGAGAAGGAAAGCAGAGAGGCGACCTGCATATTTGATGAGTTGCCTCTGGATTTTACTCTTTAGATCCAGTCAGTTTTTAAAGTATGTGTAAGTCACACTGACCTTCATCTAGTTTTGACTTTTATCCCTCCTGCTGCAGCAACGTTACAGGCCCTAACTTTTTAAAGTATGGATAGAGGGTCTTTACAGCTTTATCATCATTCCTCTTGATTCCTTTTTGAAATCAGCACTGGTGGCGGCGGAGCATCGCCAACTGACAAACCAGACAATGTGAATTTATCTCATTTAGTCACACTACAGCAAGAACAGCGACGTTTCTCCCTCCTCTTACCTGTGGGTGTCATGTAATAAGCCTCTATGTCAGCCATGTCCGTTTGCAGAGCACAGTCCAGATAACTCTGGATAACTTTCCTGCTGTAGTAGTAGCGTGCACCCATTAGAATGAGGGGTGCACAGCAGGTCAGCGTGACGGATTTGGTCACGAAAAAGCACATTACTATGGAGAAATGGAAGAAAAGTAAACGAAACCTGTCAGAAAAGAGAATCACATGTTTGATTTTGGCAGAATTTGACCCCACACAGACACAGAAAACACAATATGATATATGTAAACACCAGTAAGTAAAAACAGGTACATGAAATTGTGTTATAAAGGTACATTATGAATAGGTTTGACAAAGAGATTATGATTACTTTCACACGAGGCGGCAAAGTAACATTCACCAGACTGTGAAGTAAGGCTCATTAGTACATCTGCAGGAGCACAACATTTGACATCATCAAACCACCTGGAGTAATTAGTCATATGTGACGCTGGGGGGCGCACACGGAAACAAACAAGCAGGCTGGATGCTGCAGAGCATGTTGTTGTGGCATGCAATAACCTAGTAGTTATTTTACTCCACTGCATCCCAGTGTGGTTGAAGCATCAGCTGCTGACATGTGGAAGGGACATGATACTCTATTAAAGAGATTTTAACTATCACTAAGACACATTCAGACCGCAGTGAAATGGAAATTGAGGGATTTTACATGCAGGAGTTTCATGTTTTGTGGCTGCCTGAGTCAAATTAACGCCAAATTGACATAGCCTAATTCCTCTGCCGAAACTGCACAGAGTTTGTATTTGTAAGAGCTTGTTTGATTTTGGCGTGCGTAGCGGCACCGGTCACGATACATGAGGCTTTAATCTGCGCTGGCGACATCAACAAAAGCCAAACGAGATCAGTGCATGACTGGCGCATTGGCTGCTGTGCAGAGGCGGAGGGGGGCGCGGCGCGCACTGTGCTTGTGCGCGCAGCGGGAGGGGGGTTACTGTGCTCTGGGGTGCGCGGGGGAGTGCTTTATGGGTACGTGCGCGCACCCTTTGGGCCAATCCTCAAATTCATTCACTCATTCATTCACGACACCGGCATGTCATCTGATCATCAGCGGGCCGCCGGTTATACACGTGCACCATGCGGCCGGCCATGCCTTTTGTTGCATGATGAGCAACATGCCGGTGTGTGCCGGCGGATAGGGAGCCACGTTGGCGCAGTGTGGTGCTGCAACAGATTTCAACTTAACTGTACGTCGCCTACAGGGTCAGGTAGAGAAACGTTAGATGTGTGTGGGATTCAAGTTCCTCAGATAAATCACATGAGGGTATAAACACCAAAAGACAGACATTATCCTACAATGTGAAGTGAGATCAGAAATAACTCCATGCATCATTAATGTTAGGGGATTATGCTGAAGTTTCCTATGGTAGGCTATTAGAAAAGTAGGTCTAAAACCTAATGGGAATATAAACCGGTAGCTACATGATGCAAGGCAATGAAGGTACTTACCTGTCAAAAGAGCATACAAAAACTGAGTCTTGGGCTGCTGCCTGAGCCCCCTAAACGCCGTGTTGGGTATCCTCTCCATAATACCCTCGTAAAAGATGCGCCGCACCTCCTCTTGATCCCCGCGCTCGAACTCGCGGATAAAAACCGCATCTTTCCTCACATCCTCCTTAGTCTCGGCGGGGTTCAGAGCCGCGCTGGACGAAGGAGAGCCCCACATGATTGACTCTTTTTTGGTCCCAGGTATAGCATCGTGTTCGTCCGCAACAATTTTAGTCTCGCAAACCATTTTGGGAGACGATAAATGCATGCAACTGGCCGCAAAAAAACAACTACAGTTCGGGGGAAAAAATAGGGGTATAGTGGGAGTGAGAATGGATGATGCGTGAGATTTTCTTAAAAAACAGAGAAACGATGAAAGGGGATAAGACGAGGGGGGATGTTCTGCTGCAACCCTGAGCGTTTCTGACGACCAAGACTTGCCGGCGTAATCCAAGCGGTATTTATAAACTGGCAGGGCGGGTAGATTCAGGTTCAGGGGTTGGGGTGGTCCTCCCGCTGCTCAGATTGGTGGAAGCGATGCGCCGCTGAATGCTGAGGGAGGAGGGAGAGACAGACAGTCGCTCTCTCTGCATCTGATCAGGCTTGTGTGTGTTTGTGTGTGTGTGTATTTTGATGATGTGGGCTCATGAGGTGGGGGTGTGATGGTGAGATTGCGTAGAGAGGTTGTTTCTGAACAGGTTTTTCTTCATTATGTCTTTTTTTAATGAGGAGGATGCCCCGGTTTGTTGAGGTGCCGCGGCTGTAAAGGATGCGATGCGCAGCACAAAGGCGCAAGGTAACGCGGGGGCGATGCGTCAAACAGGAGGAAATCCCAGTAACAGGGCGACTGCGGCTTAGAAAAAACTCTTAAACTGTTTATAATTCAACATGAGGGTTCATACTCATTGATAATGTATGTTTATAATTAAATACGAGGTGAAAATAGATTGGTTGTACATTTCCGTTGTTGCGCAGATAAATAAATGTGACAGCGATGGGGTGGTAAAGATTCTGATAAAGACACATTTGTATCCTGACACTGAATCGATATTAAAAGGACACTGTAAACCCTTAAATAGTCGCCCGTATGTCTGGGCACTGGCTGCACATACAGCCTCCTCTGCCTGTTGACTGACAGCTCTGCTGCACTGCAGTGATTCCTCCGCGGCTTCCCTTCGCTTTGTCACCCTGCTCTTGTAATACACCAGACCTAACATGGAGATTAGGCTATATGTCGTCTTACTGCGCATCTGAAACCTCCCATTAGCCTATCTGTCTGCGACATGCGCCGCGCACTAAGCTCCAGCGACGGAAACACCGGCTTCACGCTCGACTGTGGTACCGGTGATGATGATGATGATGATGCTCGATTCGGCCCTTTGTTGTCCCCCGACACTCCCTATAATTAACCGTGACTGTTGTCGGAGTCCAGCTTTCATGAAAAAAATTGCTGCCACGATGTGCGTGTGCTTTTATTTTGAGTGCTTCAAGATGATCGTTAGGGGATGGGGGAGGCTTAGTTTATTTTTTACAGTTAATGACAATAGTTTCCCCTGATAAACATAAGAAAACAGGATGGTGGTAAACCTGTGGGGGGTTGCTATTCGATACAGCTGCAAATCAATAGGGTCCATGTCCATAACTGAGTCTAAACAGCACCAGTATTGCGCATCACTGGCAGACGGTAATGTCCCAAAACGAATATTATGCCATAAAGTAGCCTATTCCCTTTCCTCTCCACTGTAACTAAGAAAACTACGATCATGTTTCCACGAAGGTCAACGTGTTTAGGCTGTGAGCCTGCAGCTCTTTGTGGACGTGTGAAACCCCACAGAGCCACAGTCACATAGGCTATGTAAAGCAAAACTAGTTTGAACTGGATCATCAGAGGCAACCTGCTATTGATAAGGCTGCATCCACCCCCACTCCCTCCTCCTGAAGGTATCCCCCTCCCCTTTATCCCACCATAGAGCTGCCGGGGGAGGAGGAGGAGGGCAGGTGACCTGCAGTGTCAGAAAGTCCCCACGTGCTCTGCTCAGGCCAGACATTTGCTCTAAAGATGCGGTAGAAAGATGGTTTTCTACGCATCAGCGCCTTTTCTGCAGCGGTTCTCCCAATGCCGACTGGGTGGAAGATGTTGCCGAGCATGCGCAGTGTTTCTTTTTGGTTGACTCATGGCCGTGCTGCCTTCAAGTGCTGGCGGTAATATCGCAACCATGAAATGAGCACACAAATTTATGAAAACACACAGATAGCCTAAATTTTGAGGATAACGAAGCAACTGGAAAAAGATTGTACCGATGAAAACCCCCAAATGAATCAATATAACATGATGAAAAGTCACAGTTAGACTATAGCTCCAAATCCAGGCTAAGTTTGATCCTCTCTACCTTGCCACTATAGTAGCCACGATTTTTCAATCTATATCTAATATCCCCAAAATATTTCTGTTCCATAGTCTTCTTTCTATTTTCTCAAATATCTCCACATCAAAAATAAATAAAATAAGAGGAATACTAGTCATGAAAACAATTGGCTACAGTATTGTTTCATCTGTTGTCACACTATTACCTTGTAAAATACTTATTATTTTAAAAATGTACTTTAAAAAAGTAAAGGTTTGTAGAATAGAATATATTTGGTCACCAGAGTTTACAGTGTTTAACATTTATTCCTTAAAACTTATTAGCTGCTATTTAAAAGCTACTTGTAGGCCCACATATGTATTAGTCAATAGTAGCCTAACTATTCTCATTTTACTAGTAACAGTTGATTAGATACTAGTACATTTATTCATTTAGCTGACGCTTTTATCCAAAGCGACTTACAATTGTTACATGTCAGAGGTCGCACGCCTCTGGAGCAACTAGGGGTTAAGTGTCTTCCTCAGTTACACTATGGTGGATGGGTCACAATGGGGAATTAAACCTGGGTCTCTCACACCAAAGGCATTGCGCCATCACCACCCTCTTAGTACTTAATTTTTAGTTACTAGTAACTATTACATTAGTTAACTAATTGCACATTTTTTAAATTTAAATCTATGGGGCTCTGCAATTCACTTTCACATATTTCTTAGTTACTAGTCACTATCCTATTGTTGCTAGTAGTAATTAAAAAGTTATTATCATCAAGCCATTTTACTAGCCATTAATGAATGACTAGTAACAAAAAAGTACTAGTAAGAATGAAAATGTTACTAGTATCTAAATAATGGATACTAGAAGAATGGAATAGATATAGTAGGTAAAAATTAAGTACTAGTGTCTTGTTACTATGATGACAATAGTTACTTGTAACTACGGGAATAGGCTACTAGTAATTAATAAATATAACAAGTACTAGTTGCTTTTAAGTAGTTTAAAGTAATACATTTTAAAAGGGCTTGCCATACCCTGTGAGGATGTAATACTAATCGATAAACTACAGCTGCTCAGTACACACCAGAAAACTCAATTGGTGGATGGACAACTTTGCTATTTGTCCCTTAACATTAGTGGAGCAGAAACTCCCATGCTATATACTACCATAGTACTATAAATTATACATGTACTCATCTGTATTAATCTGTACTTTAGTACAACAAACATCAAAATCCCAGTACCAAATTTAAATTTCATCGATCCATAGCCTATACGGAGAATGTTGTTGCCCGTTCAAAATCCCCGCACAGAGCCCCACATATTGATCTAATAATCTTAAATGTGTTTCCCTGCTGCTGAGGCCCCACCGCCTCCCAGCCCCGAAGGTCACACCGTGCCTCTGCTGCTGCCCTGACCTCTTGACTCTTTTCAGTGACTGGGCAGCCCGGCAGGACTCTGATCCTCAGACGTTTAAGGCTTCAGCGTGTTTCCCACAGGGTGCAGCAGGTTGTTTTTTTGGTTTCAGCAGCTTTCTAAGAAAAGTTTCCAAGTTTACTTGTAAAGCACTTCTCAACAACAAGGCAGTTCAAGGTGGCGTACATAAGGCGTAGAAAAGGAAAAGACACAAAAGCTTAGGCTTTTTTTTTTCCTGGTGATATTCCAACTGGTGATTTCATGATCATCAATTACCGAACACTGCGCCCCTGGGCGCAGGCTTGTAAGGGACCCACCCTCCTATGTATGTGAGCATCCCCAATAAATCCTTTAGTATTTTCTTCTAGATAAAAAAAAAGAAGTTTCAGCCGATCCAGACTGACACTCCTCTCCACAGCTATACTATATACTACTAGTATACAGCTTACTATCTGTATACTCTTTTTCTTTTCTTTCTAAATATTATAGAAAACCATCAAAGCAAACCTGTAATGCAGATTATATGTCCTTAAAACAGAGCTATTCTGCACTCAAATGTATGTACATTTACTGTAGCAATGAGCTTTATTATTATTACATCTGCCTTTACACAAGCAAATGCATCATATCAACGAATCAGGAGCAAATTTAGCAAGATCAGGACATTCCTACTTTTGACTGAGCCCCGTCGCTTTCCAACATGAAACGTTAACAACAGACACTTCAAACAGAGGCTGTGGGAGCTCCTGTGCCTGGTAAGCCTGTTGAGTAATCCATCCATGGACACACAGCATCGATGTCATGTACATGTACATTTTGTATTTAGAGTATGAGAATATAATATATATTTATTATATAACCAACTATAACTTTTATTAACGTTATGAATGTTTTTTTATCAGGGTGTCTACAGCTGCTCGTCTAAAATGTTTAAATAGCATGCGTTAAAAGTCATTATGAATTCTGAATTTTACTGAGAATTTGAATGTATTAAATTATTGTTATTTATTTGTCAAGTCAAAGTTTTGACATCTATGTCATGCTTGTTAGTCTGTACACATTCATAAGTAATGAGCAAAAAATATCAAAACAAACTGTCTCTAATCTAAAACAATTACATTTAAATAAATATAGCCGTGAGCGGCAATGGTCGGGATCCAAGCAAGTCGTGAAAAACGCAACATTTGACATTTGACAAGAAGAACAGATGCAGATGACTTAGGAGATTAAAGTGATGATTTAGTTTTTGAGATAATTGGGGAAACGCAAACTTGATTTTTGCAGCATCGCCTTGAGATCAGAGATCATCATAAAATGTACCTGACTACTGGGTGAAATGTTCAACCCACCTGCAACATTTTGTGTTTTCAAGTTTTAAAGTTTAAGCTTTACAAACTCATTTAAGCAGAGAAAAATAAGAAGAAAGTGTCACAGGATCCAAATAAAACATAGAACTTAGACTCACTATGATCTGAACACCCCAATTGTTAGCAAGTCTGACTCGGTCACCTGGGCATTTGAACCCTGGAGCTTCAGCTCTCTAGAGAAGGTGACTTACTGACTGAGCTACTGGTGAGAGGCTGTTTCCACACACCTTCTCACAAGTTGAGGTAGTGATGGCATATGTGACAGACCCGGATAGTTTTGTCAGTTTAAACTTAAAACGCAGTCAAGATGTTGGTGAGAAAATTCTGAAAAAAATCACACATCATTCTGCTGGTTTTGGGTGTGTTGTTAATTGTTTTTTTG